GGAGATCTATGAGGCATGTTAGCGAGGCAACCTAGTTGCACGAGATTGGTTTACTCACTGCAATGCCGATGAAGACAATGATGTACGCGCCAATCAATCCATATCCGATGTTGGTCGTCTGCGCCGTCTCGGCCTCTTGGGAGAAGTTGACAGCTCTTTCGATCAGAAATGGTTGGCAGAAGTTAAAGGCAATCAGACATAGTCTGGGTGGAACAACTGCCAGTATGGGCCACTTCAATTTCCTCAGTGTCGTTCCGAAGAGAGAATGTGTACCGACGTTCGCGACTATATCCCCCGGGTTAGTGGACGGTAGATACAGAGGCAGGGTAATCACAACTAACCTCTTGCCCACGACGAGCCAATTAGATGGTGCAGGTAGTCTGCTGTTAAGTGTTTGTCCAGCTGGAAAAGGTCGTCGACAGTCAGTGAAGTGGAGAATCCCTTCTTGAAGAGCGGGTTCAGCCACCAGAACGTTACTCGCCTGTACACACCACTGGTAGCCTCCGTTGGGTTGTTGGCGAAGTCTGGGAGAAGGAGCCGTCGCTTGTCTCGCGCTTCAACTATGGCGAGGAATACTTTTACAGCGAGGCGTGAAGCGAAAACCGTAGCAACGAGGTCCAGCTCGGGCGTGAGTGCATAACTGCGAGAGCGTTCGATATCAAATATGCTGGTGAAGAATAGGTATACCGTGAGCAGGAACGATGGACGTATCGACCTCATGTGCTCAACGAAGGAGAGGAATCCCAGCAAGACTGCGCCGATGAAGCTGATAGCAGCTGATGCGAGTTCGGCACGGTTGTTGCGTGTTTGTCGGTTTGACCAGATGACGAGGAGCGCAAGCTCGAAACCAGCGAACACAGCCCATCCTATCTGTAGCACAAAGGTCAGGTCCATCATAATCAAGCTTCAGGAGAATGGCATACCAGTTTGGTATATAGCAGAGTCGTCCTCGAAACCTTGGTATCCTTCCACCATAGTCGATAGATTCTATAAGGTGCGATAGCTATCAACAAGGATAGAGGAATTATCGAGAGAAACACCTCGGAGAAGAGGAGAGTTAGATCGAAGCCGCCACGGCAATGTGGACCAGCATAGGGACCAAAGGTATCGTCGGTCAATGCACAATCGGGGTTCATAGTCGCTGCCATTGCGAACGAGAGACAATCCGTCGAGACTGTTCAGCAATGTAGATGGTGCATTAAAGCATTAAAGGAAGTAGGAATGGGATAGGAGAGTTGATATTATGGGAGCCCCAGAACTCCTCGAGTGGTTCTAATGACAATGCTGATCATGTGGACCGGTGGCAGAATGATGATTTCTTTATTTCCCTGCGTTGGTGTTTCTGACTACCCGCGGTGAGGGCTTGAACAACACGGTAGTACGTTTTGGAGATCCCAAGAGACCAATGCTCCGCAATGTAACACGGACATACGCCACTGGTTACCTCAGAAGGCTACTAGTAGCGCCTTACGTACTTGTTGTGAGCTGAACATGTTCCTCAATTGCCATCTTTACAGCATGAAAGTGACTTAGCTTGCTTTGATCGTCGTCATGTTGCACTAAAGCGAGCGACTTGCAGACCCGAGAAGTGAGGACTGAGCGTATACCGGTAGTAGGGTGCGTGACTAGGCTTTCCATGACCTGGTGCAAACTCAGTGCATGCAGACCGCATGCGTCGTGTTGGACTACGTCGAAGTGACAGGGGCATCACATGGTGTTCGTATTTGGTTTAGCCGTGTATTCCACCCGGATTAGCAGCAACGACCGGCGCCACTCCCATCACCCTGCGCACTAACAGTGTTGACGGCGGCTCGGGAAGGGGATCCTCAACCTTAATTGCGCGACCACGCTGTCAGCTTGGCACTTCTTTAGCGGCAACTTCGTGGCTTGTGGCTTAGAGATCGGCGCTGTCATCCCGATGATCACACCCAAAAGGATGTAGCATCTAACGCTACAGCATTGCTGTTGGTATTCCGTGCTCTGGACTAGGGGTATCCAAAGCGTCTGAAGCGGTTTTCTTTCCTGTTTCAATTCCGTTGAATGCCAAATTTGGACATGCAAAGCATGCGAAAAAGTATAACACGTCGCTTGCGGCGGCCGTTCATCGGCTCTTTAGTCACCAAGACTTGCAAATTGAGCTGTATTTCGACACATGGGAATGTGACTGCCGAACGAAATTTCACTTGACGCCTGCGCTAACAAATTGATGTGGAGAAAAATTCTCATTGTTCTGCCAATTCTCGTCGGCGAGTCGTGTGCAACGACGGCTGTTCAAGGCGCACCTGCTTGCCGCAGTTAGGCAACTACGGGGTGTCAAATGCAACTCACGTCATGAGGGAGGGAACATTTTCAAAATGATGACACGTTTATGCAGTTGGCGGCCCGAGATCAAGGTTTCTGCTCGCATGCACGAAGTAACAGCGAACACGGACTGACAGGACCGTCATGATAATTTCTACACCCGCGCGACCAAGGACTGTGGCAGCTGGCAAATAGCCTGATGACGCGGCAGTCAATAAGAAGGCCACGATACACATTCTCCGCAAATACGACGAGGTATAAGCGGGGGAGAAAAGCGCCCGACCATAATCACTGGTGGTGTACTTGTCGACGATCGACTTCTCACAGGCTGAGAGTGGCTCGCCGTTGGCCAACTGCCGGAGTCATCTTGGATTAGTACGAAGGGTTTTCGACATCCACGGAACTGCACGCCGGCGGAGTGCCGAATTGGTCACCGGAGCAGTGAACCAGAAAGCTGGTTTGGTGTAGTCTGGAGTGCAAGAAATTGGGACCAGGGAAGCCTCTGTCGGTATTGGAAATCCATGGCGATGCCGGTGTAGGTTCTAACACCGGTTGGTAGCTTTATTACAGGTTCACTGACGATCGATGCAGCGCCGATCGCATACGTTGTGATCGACCGGTGCAGCTCGCCATGAACGCTCCCAATACTTCCGGAAGATTCCACTACTGGCTGGAAATTGCAAGTCTGTCTTCAAGTGAAGTTTATGGCTTGCGCAGCCCGTACGGATAAATCACATTTCCTGGGGTACCTGCAGGCAGACTCCTCATCTCTTGGAAAAGGTGCATACCCCACAATGGCAGCTAAATCTAGTAATACGGGTCAGCCCCATATGAACTGAAGCTAAGTGGTTTCGTTGCGTCTATCAACTGAAGAGCGAAGGATGATGCAATAGTTAAAGTTACATGAGCGCTTGGAAGGGTGCTCGCTTTCAACGGCTGATTAACATGTCTAGACAGACGGTACGACGTGTGCTGACGGTCCGGAAGGGGTATGATCCGTCGCAGGGAGGCGATGCATGAGGATTGAGTTGCCCTGGAGTTGAATTTCCGGCTGCCTGGTACTTAGCGGCAGGAGCCGGTTAGTCGTCATCCACGCTCGAATTTCTGGACCGGGTCTAATTGAGACGTGCGGGACTTTGGAAAGTGTTGTGGGCCGTGGAGGTGTACCCACCCCTCCATCACAATCTTGTCTTTGGTGCGTGCTTCGCGGGAGCGGCACGCAAGACTTCCTGCGGTGTGAAGGCGCCGGGTTGAGAAGCCGTTCCAAATATGCATCTATGAGAAATGAAGAGGTGGGACGTGGCGCAGGAAGAAAACCGTAAAGGGACTGACAGCGGGGCGTGAAGCGTAGTGGCGGGATTGTGCCCTTGAAGCGTTGGAGGCTCCCCAAGCTCAGACAGGCGACTATCGACTAGTAATGGAGACAGCGCGAAGCAGATTCCCCTTGGGCAGGTGACAAGCGACAGCTGGCTCCAAGCTCGTGGGCGCAGGCGCAGGGCGAATGAAGAGAGGCATGAGAAACGGAGAGCGAAGCCTGCCCCGTGGCAGCTCCAAGGCGGAGAAGAGCATCCGATCACGCCCAGGCTAGGCCAGTACCCGATGCGGTCAAGCGTGAGGCTGTTACATAAGCGTCCCGCATCTTTGTTTTCGTTCGTTTTGCCCCAACCAGCAGGAGTCAGCGAGCCACCGACGCGTTGAACCTCACCTTTCGCCCATACCCTCCGCCGCGTCGGACCTTCTCGTGTTCGTACGCACGCCACAATATGCACCTATTAACCCGCCGCTACATCTGCAGAGACTTAACCGCACTCTGAAGGTCGACCGCGTTACAGCCAGCCTCGCGGACACGCGACGCTCTATGGCGATCGTGGCCTCCAGCGACTAAGGCGCCGCCCCTTGCTTTTCGGCCTCGAGCATCTTAGTCCGCACCACTTTTGGTGAAACTCGAAAAGAAACCTGCCATAGTGTCCACCGCCATCCGTCCTGGTGGTCTCCTTCGTTTGAACACCGCAGGCGTCACCAATCACATACATCCTTTATCTGCTCATGGCCGCGTGCAGGCCCTTGCACTTAGTGCTTCTTCCTTCTCGAAGACAATGCCTGTCTGCAGGCACCGGCTGTTCGCCTTCGCATACCATGCTTTCTCCAGACCATGTGGCTTGAAACAGACAAGAATAACATGTAATGATTTCACCGCAATGCGGATACCCCCGTACTAGGTGGTTAGGGATTCAGGAGTATCTGTCCCTGCCTCCGAGGGGCGATCCCAGGCGGTATATGCAGGAGCTGAACTTGAGGCCCGTACTGAGACTTCCCACCACTTTCATCCCAGGAATTCCGGTGTGATTGATTCTAGAATCTCTTGATTTCCATACCAATTCTGTTCTACTAGCTGGACAAAAGCCACCTGTGCATTTTCTATCCCTCTCGCTTGCAACAAGAGTTGTAAAATACGGTACGTGAATTTGACCATATCGTCGCTAATCCACAGTTCCGTGACGCACAACACATTCGATCTTGGTAAGTGGCTTCTCTGTTTCCCGTGGCTGCCTCTTTTGCTCGTGACGATGTCGTCGCGCGCGACTGATCCGAAGGGACCCTTTAACACGGCCCATGCCTTCACGTAGCATCGCTTTGGTCACTGACCACCATATCCATTTGCTCACGTATCGTCCGCTAGGAACCACACACTTCCCAAGATGTCGTCAACAATCAGTAATGTCGAGGAGAGCCTACAAGCTATCTGGGCTCATGTCCTCAACTTACCTCATGTTCCTCTGGATCAATCCTTCCTGTCGATAGGAGGAGATTCCATCTCTGCTATGCAGGTCGTCGGTCAATGTCGCAAAGAAGGCATGAGTCTTGGCGTTCAAGAGGTCTTGCGCAGCAAGTCCATCACACAGTTATCGGCCGCAGTCAAAGAGGTCGGGAACTCAGCCTACGACCATGAGGAATACTTTGACGAGGATTTCGATCTCTCACCCATCCAGTCACTCTTTTTCAAACGTCCGAATACAAACGGCCATTTCAACCAATCTTTTTATCTCCGAGTGGCACGTAAGACCGATGCCGGCGATTTCCAATCCGCAGTGCAACAACTCGTGACACGCCACTCCATGCTGCGAGCAAGGTTCACTCAATCGCCTGAACATGGATGGCAACAACGTCTCACAAGTAAGTCAGCCTGCATAACCATATATCCGTCAATATTCCAATCTCCACATCGTTGTATATTATCCTGCCAGGGGATGTAAATTGTTCGCCTGTTGCTGACTGTGACCCTAGACGATATCGAAGGCTCTTATCGCTTTCGTCATTTGGCTGTAACATCACAAGCTCAGATCGACACTCAGATTGCAGACTCGCAGCAATGCTTCGATCACGTGGCTGGCCCACTATTTGCTGCCGACTTCTTCGATTTTGGTGAAGAGCAGTATGCATTTCTGACCGGTCACCATTTGGTTGTCGATCTGGTCACGTGGAGGTTGCTGCTCGAAGAGCTTGAAGAGATCCTCAAAGGTGGACAACTACTTGCACCTGCCCTTCCTTTCCAGAAGTGGGCCGAGCTGCAACGTGACCACGCTGAGTCTCTCGAACTTGATGAAGTCCTCCCAGCTGTTGATGTTCCTCCCATGAACTTCACATACTGGGGCATTCAACATCAAGATAATACGTACGGCAATGCTAGCCATGCCAGTTTTGAGCTAGATAAGGATCTTAGTTCCGCTTTCCTGACTAACTGCCATACTGCCTACAAGACTGAGCCGGTCGAAGTCTTGCTCGCATCCTTAATACAGTCCTGGTCACATGTCTTCACCGACAGGCCTGTGCCAGCTATCTTCAATGAGGGACACGGTCGCGAACCGTGGGACTCAGACATTGATATCACCCGAACTGTCGGGTGGTTCACGGCGCGTACGTACACTCCGTCCGCGTTGTTCGGACTTTCTCCCTCGATGCGACCGCTCCGTGATGCTCGGTTGAGATTGCGCTAACAGCTACCCAGTGTCTCCAATTCTTGTGTCACCATCGAAGGATCCCACGGATACCGTCCGAAAGATCAAGGATTTCAAACGGCGAATTCCCGGTAATGGACGTCCATATTTTGCTAGGCGGTGTCTTACTGAGGAGGGCCGGGAGAATTTTGACACTCATTGGCCCATGGAGATCCTGTTCAACTATCTCGGCCAGTACCAGGTATGTTGCATGAAGGCTTGCCATCACTCATTCACTGACTTGTTCGAAAGCAACTCGAGAGGGCGGACGCCTTGCTTCAGCCGTCAGGTACCATGGCTGGTGAGACAGGCAAGGCTGGCGGCACGTCCGACTTTGGCCACGAAACCTGCAGATGGGGTCTCTTCGAGATCTCCGCCTTTGTTTTCAAAGGGCACCTCAAGGTTGCTTTTACATTCAATCGACATATGAAGCATCAGCCACTCATTCAACAATGGGTCTCAGAATGCCAGAACACCATATCCAACATGATCCGGGGCCTGACACTTCTCGATCCCAAGCCAACGTTGAGCGACTTCCCATTACTTTCATTGACAGATGAAAGCTTCACCACTATGGTTGACAGTCTCTCAGCCATGGGTATTCTGGACACCGACGTAGAGGATATCTATCCTTGTTCAAGAATGCAAGAAGGATTGCTCCTTTCGCAAAGCAAAGACGCCGGGTTTTATGCTGCGGCAACTCTCCATGAGGTCACCACCTTGAATAAACAAATCTCCCCAGAGGCAGTTGCTGGTGCTTGGCAACAGGTAATCGAACGGCATCCAGCATTGCGCACTGTCTTCATCGAGAACGTTGGTGCCAAGGGACTTTACAACCAGGTCGTCCTCAAGCACATCGACGCCAACATTGTGTATCTTGAGGCGTCAGACGAGACCGATGCTATCAGGATGATCGAAGAGCAACGCTCCGTTAGCTACAACCACGGCCGATGTCCGAATCACCGTTTCACCATCTGTACGACCACCGATCAGAGAACCTACTGTTCGCTGGACATAAGCCATGCCATCATGGATGGTCATTCTATGAGTCTCTTAGCCGAAGAACTCAGGAAGGCATGTGCAAGCGAAACCCTCCTCGATGGCACCCCATACAGCGCTTACATCGCATGGCTTGCGAAACAGCCTGAGGAATCCAGTCTTGAATTCTGGAAATCTTATCTTGGAGGCAGTGAAGTCTGCTCTTTCCCGACCCTTGATGACGGACTTGGTCAAACTGTAGCGAAGGAACTTATCACCATTCGCCTCGATCTCACCAGTATCAGCCTAGCCGACTTGCAGCATTTTTGCAACACCAACGGCATCACCCTGTCGAATGTCTTTCATACTGCATGGGCACTGACACTCAGCTGCTACATTGGAAGCAACGACGTCACGTTTGGCTATCTAACGTCCGCGCGTGATGCGGAAGAAGTACATGGAGTAGAAAGTATTGTTGGCCCGCTGATCAACACACTCGTCTGCCGCGTGAACCTCTCGGACGGATCTCGCTGTCTCCTCGATATCCTCCAAGACGTACAAAGAGACTACATGGAAGCCTTGCCACATCGCCACATAGCGCTGCCCGATGTTCAGCACGTGCTTGAGCTTTCTGGTGCCAGTCTCTTCAACACTGCGCTCTCATATCGTCGTCTTCCCCAGGAACAGGGCCGCCAGGAAGAAGATGTTCGTCTTCGGGAGGTTCGCCCGATCTACGACCCAACTGAGTAAGTTTGTTCTATCCAACAAGGCACTGCCACAAAAGTGTTTCGGGAACATCACTGACACGTCGCGTAGGTACCCAGTCAGCGTGAACATCGAGGTCGGAGATGAAGCTGCGGCTGTGGATCTCGACTACTGGACCGATCATCTCACCGCCGTACAAGCCAGGAACGTTGCCAACACCTTCGTGCGGGCTCTTGAGAACATCGTCTTCAACGCCAAACGTCGCATCTCGGCCTTGGATCATCTCAGCCCAAGGCATCTGCAACAATTACAGAAATGGAATGTCATGCCGCCAACTATCAACGAGTGTGTGCACGATATATTTGCGCGATGGGCTGAAGCTCAACCAGAAGCACCAGCAATATGCGCACACGACGGTGAATACACGTACGGTCAGCTGAGAGCCGTCACAGACCGCTTGTCACATCATTTGGTCCAACTCGGTGTCGGACCTGAGGTTTTCGTACCCACTTGTTTCGACAAGAGTGCTTTCGCAATCATTGCTATGCTCTCCGTTCTCAAAGCGGGTGGTGCCGCTGTGCCACTTGATGCAGCACACCCTGCCCCAGCGCTGCAGACCCGTCTCGAAGATGCTGCCGCGCAAGTGGTGCTCACCACTTCCGCGCGCGCAGAGAAGTTCGACGGACTTGTACCCAACATCATCGTAGTAGACGCTGCATTTTTGGAAAGCTTGCCGGCGATCGACGGCCCTGCTTGCCCCAGTGTTCGGCCGCACAACCCAGTCTTTGTTATCTTCACAAGTGGAAGCACAGGGAGACCAAAGGGTGTTGTGCTCGAGCACTCAGCCATAGCTACTAGTGCGGAAGCTCACGGCTCCAAATTCGGCATCAACCGAGACTCGCGCATGCTCCAATTTGCTTCGTACACGTTCGACAACTCTCTCGAAGAGATGTTCACTACTCTTCAGCGAGGTGGCTGTGTATGCGTTCCCTCCGAGGTTGATCGTGTCAATGATCTTCCCGGCGCGATCGCGAGGTTGAAGGCGAACAAGATGGATCTCACCCCAACTGTCGCGGCGCTCCTCACGCCGGCGCAGGTTCCTTCAATTAAGAGCCTCTGCCTTGGCGCGGAGCCTCTCACGAAAGCGCTGATCGAGCTCTGGAGTCAGCATGTCCACCTCGTCGGAATGTATGGACCCAGTGAGGCGTCTATCAACTCGGCCTTCAAGGATTTCAGCGACGGTCGGGGGGAGGCCACTAATATCGGCAAGGCAATCGGATGTATTGGATGGGTCGTTGATGCTGAAAACCGTGACCGCTTGATGCCCATTGGATGCAAGGGAGAATTGATTCTCGAAGGTCCTATCCTTAGCCGTGGATATCTCAACGACGCTGAGAAGACACAAGCCGCATTCATCATGGACCCTGAGTGGGCTCGTGTCATGGGTCCCACAGGACGTAGGTTTTACTGCACCGGTGACCTGGTTCAATACACCTCTGATGGTGACATGATCTACTTGGGCAGGAAGGACTCCCAGGTCAAAGTAAGTGTCTGACTAAATTCCTACTCAATCATCAAGGACTGACCCCGCATAGCTGCACGGACAACGCATTGAGCTGGGCGAGATTGAACATCACCTGAAGCTGAACCTACCTGCCGGCGCCAAATCGGCTGTCGAACTAGTCAAGTTCAACGACAGCAACAAGACCAAGGCACTCGTAGCTTTCATGTGCTTGTCGGAGGACGAACATTCAGCTGCAATCTGCGAGATGAGCGAGTCGGTACGAAAAGTTGCAAAGAAGGTCGAGATCGCACTTGCGAATGCACTTCCTGTCTACTACGTGCCCTCAATGTTCATGCCAGTCACTCGCATGCCTATGACGACGTCCGGCAAACTTGACCGCAAGGTGCTACGCTCTCTGGCGGCTGCTCTTCCTGAGTCGAACCTCACGCCTTTCCGCCTGGCAGGTAAGAGCGGACGCGCGCCTGCTGGAGACGCTGAAGTCATGTTGGCGCGTCTCTGGGCGTCGGTGTTGAAGATCGATGCAGGCGCAGTAGGTGCTGAAGATTCATTCTTCCGCCTTGGTGGTGACTCCATCAGCGCCATGAAGCTCGTCACAGCGGCAAGGAAAGATGGCGTCATGCTCAACGTTGCCAATGTCTTCGCTCAACCCAAGCTGCTGGATATGGCGGCCACTGCAATTATACTGTCATCCGATGACGCCGCGAAGTCTGAGGTGGACACTCTGCCCATGGAATTGCTTCCTGCGTCCTCCCGTCAGGCTATTGTAGCCTTGGCTGCATCTGAATGTGGTGTCTTTGCCGACTCTATCGAAGACATCTACCCATGCAGCAAGCTCCAGGAAGGTCTTGTCATGCTCACCAACAAGGACCCAGGAACCTATGTTGTGCAGCCTATCTACCGATTGCCACCTGATGTCGACATTCCGCGTTTCAAAGAGGCCTGGAAAGCTGTCATCGCTACCGAGGCAACTCTGCGCACTCGTATCGTATATTCCGAGGAGCATGGCTTCGTGCAAGTAGTCATCCGGGAAGACATCAAGTGGCAATCCCTCCCCGATATCCAAGATATCAACGAGACCACTAGGCAGCTTCCTGCCAAGAACGGCGCGCCTTTGACGACATTCACGCTCGTCGGTGAGAACACCGACTCCATGTTCTTTGTGTGGACTGCTCATCACGCCGTATACGACGGTTGGAGCTGGACGGCGTTGTTCCGAAAAGTCGAGGCCCACTATCGCAGTGAGGTGCAGAGCATTCCCACCACTGTTCCCTACTCGCGGTTCGTGAAATACATCTCCAGTCTGGATCAGAAGCAGTCCGATGATTTCTGGCTCTCGCAGCTCGACAATGTCACGGCTGCACAATTCCCTCAGCTACCATCCCCAGACCACCGTGTGGAAGCCAACGGTCAGTTGCTACACTCTGTGCAGCTCACACGTAATCCAGGCCTCGAGGTTACCGTTCCTTCCATGATCCGTGCTGCATGGGGTATTCTCCTTGCAACATATTCGGGTTCAGATGACGTGATCTGGGGCGAGACCAACAGTGGCCGTGAAGCTTCTGTTCCTGGCATTGAGTCTATCATCGGTCCTACCATCACAACCGCACCTGTCCGGTTACGACTCGACCGCACTTTGACAGTGCACGACTATCTCAAGGAGACACAAAAACAGTCTTCACTTTCGCTTCCGTATCAGTTCGCGGGCTTGCAACACATCAGCAAACTCAGCTCCGAGACTGCAATAGCGTGCGATTTCCAGAGCTTCTTGGGTATCGAATCGGGTGACGATTTTGATGCTGAGAGCCCGCTATGGAACATGGTGAGCGCCAACACCATTGGAACCGACTTCTTCAGCTATGCTTTTGTCTTCAACTGCAAGGTCAACTCGACTGGCGTACAGGTTGAAGCCCTCTTCGACGACCGTGTTGTCGAAAGATGGCTCGCTCAGCGCATGGTTCAACAATTCGATTTTATTCTCACCCAGTTGAACGGCGCTGATAACATTGTGCGAAGCCTGAATGACCTTGACATGGTCAACCCGGCGGACCGCAAGACAATCAGTTCCTGGAATAGCGAGCCAGTGCCAGTCATCCCTAGATGCATCCACAGTGTGATTGCGGAGGATCAAACTGCGCTTCGCCCTTCTTCACCCGCCATTGATGCCTGGGATACCGGTGTCATGTCTTACCGCGAGCTTGACGATCGATCATCTGCACTCGCACATCGGCTGATCCGCCTTGGTGTAAAGCCGAAACAATTTGTTCCTCTCTGCTTTGACAAGTCAGGGTGGACAATCGTAGCCATCCTTGCTGTACTCAAAGCAGGAGCGGCATTTGTTCCCTTGGACTTCGAAGCACCTGTACTGCGCCTTCGCGAGATAGTCTCCGACAATGATGCCGATCTTCTCCTTTGTGCCCCACAGTATCAGGAGCTCTGTCAGTCCATACCATGCAGCAATGTGGTTGTGGACCGGCAAGCTACTGAAGTTCTCCCTGATCGTCTACCCAGTCTCCCTTCTGTACACAGCGATTCTCCAGCTTACGCATTCTATACCTCTGGATCGACCGGTAAGCCCAAGGGCGCCGTGGTACTTCACACTCATTGGGTCACCAATTCTACGAGATTTGCTCCGGGGCTGAAGATCTCCCAGGCATCCAGGGTTCTGCAGTTCGCCTCTTATACATTCGATGCTTGCTTGATCGAGATATTCAGCACGCTCATGCAGGGTGGGACTGTATGCGTGCCTGACCAGGCTTCCCGCACAAACGATCTCGTTGGGGTTATCAACAAATTCAACGTCAACTGGGCAACTATTACCCCGTCAGTCGTTCGTATGATCTCACCGTCTGAGGTACCAAAACTCGAGACCCTGTTCCTTGTTGGAGAAGCCATGTCTCAGCAGGATCTGGCCACTTGGGCAGACAAAGTCAATCTCGGCAATGGATACGGGCCGACCGAATGCGCCGCCCTTGCGACTTCCAACATCATGATGCCTCACACGAAACCGAACAATCTTGGTAAAGCTGTTACGTCGCGAGGATGGGTTGTATCGAGAAACAACCATCACGCTCTTGCGCCGGTCGGTGCCATCGGCGAGCTTTTGCTCGAAGGCGGTGCTGTCGGAGCCGGCTATCTTAACAATCCGGAGAAGACAGCCGAGGTTTTTGTGAACCACGTGAAGTGGTCTACAGGCCTTGTGAGCGAACCCGTACGAATCTACAAGACCGGAGACCTGGTCAAGTACAACGAGGATGGAACTATGCTGTATCTTGGCCGCAAAGATCTACAAACCAAGGTTCGAGGCCAACGACTAGAGTTGTCGGAAGTTGAGCATAAACTGCTGGACGATCATATGGTGCAGAGCGCTCTGGCCTCGGTACCTACGACTGGACCCTGTGCCAAGCGATTGGTCGCCATCATTTCGCTCCAGAACATGGCGGCAACGACAACAGATTCCGACGACCGATTGCGAATCCTGCCGCAAGAAAGTGCTTCACTGAACATTGCAACCATTCGAGATGGTCTCTGCGAACGCCTGCCTGCCTACATGATACCATCTCTGTGGATTGCTGTCGAAAGGTTCCCATTGATGCCGTCCGGGAAGATGGATCGAAGGAGAGTACTTCAGTGGGTTGAAGACATGGACCAGCCGACATACCGGCAGATCTCCGCCATGGGAACGGATGATACTGAGGTCACAAATGGGAGTGCCATCGAGAAGAAACTACAGGCGATTTTCGCCAAGGTTCTGAACCTTTCTATCGCTGATGTTCGTCTGAACCAGTCGTTCTTGCATCTCGGTGGTGATTCGATTGCCGCTATGCAAGTCTCGTCGCAATGCCGAGCGCAAGGGTTCCCGATAAGTGTACAAGACATCATCCGCTCTAAATCCATCTCGGCTATGGCCTCTACGGTTGATCTCTCCCAGAGCTCACAAGTGGCGCCCGAAGCCAAGGAGTACGACTTGCCATTCGACATCTCGCCAATCCAGAAGGTCTTTTTCAATGCTGTGGGCGATGAACACAACCACTTCAATCAGACTGAGCTGTTCCGTCTTTCTAGGAATGTTGAAGTTGAAGAGCTTCGATCAGCACTGATGGTTCTCGTCAAAACTCATCCTATGCTCCGCGCGCGCTTCTCCAAGAACGAAGCAGGCGTTTGGAAACAGCGGATTGAGAAGGATGTTCCAAGCTCGTTCAGACTTCGTCACCACCACGTCCAAGCAGGAAATGATGCCACCTTGCGGCCCATCATCGACCACAGTCAGGCGACCCTGGATATCACTAAAGGCCCAACTTTTGCTGTTGAGCTATTTGATGTTGACGATACATTCTCTCAAGCTATAGCTCTTGTTGCTCATCATCTAGTCATCGACGTGGTGTCTTGGGGTATTCTCCTTGAGGATCTTCAGGGTTTACTCCAGGGTCTTCAACCAGCGACTCAAAGCATGCCTTATCATATGTGGTTGCAGCAGCAGTCACTTCAGGCCAAGCAAGAGAGTGCCAGGAGAGTGTTCCCAGTCGGCGATATCGCACCAGGAGATCTCGACTACTGGGGAATGGAAGGTCGACCCAACCTCAGTGGAGATGTAGTGGAAGAAGATCTACAGCTATCTACTCGTGACACTATGCTTCTCCTCGGTGCACAGGACGCTTTAGCTACCGAAACCCTCGATATCCTGATCGCCGGTCTCTTCGAATCTTTCCGCAAGGTCTTCTCCGATAGGCCCACTATCACGATACACAACGAGGGTCACGGTCGTGAAACCTTCAACAATCGTCAGGACCTGTCTCGGACCATCGGCTGGTTCTCCACTGTAACGCCTATCCATCTCCCTGTCCCCTTAGACGAGGCGACAGATATGATCAGTACAATTCGTTGGGTTCGAGACTTCAGAAATCGAACCCCGGACAAAGGACGTCCCTACTTCGCTTATCGAAATCTTACCGAGGAAGGACAGACACGCTTTGCCAGTCATTGGCCGGCAGAAGCCGTCTTTAACTACGTCGGAAGGCTTCAAGGCCAAGACACTAAAGACGGGCTGTTCACTGCGCTTGACGACGTGGATTCCCGCGAAGTCGGGATAGACGTGCCACGACTCGCGCTTTTCGATATCACGGCAGCAGTGTCTCAGGGTGCGATCAAGCTCTCATTCGGGTGGAATCGCAATATGCGACGACAGAGCGAGATCCGTGCATGGGTTGCCCAGTGCCGTCAGACACTTGTGGATGCTGTGGAAGAACTTCTACAGGTGCGACAGGAACAAAGCCTCAGCAACTTCAAGTACCTGCCTCTCCTCTATAACGGTACCTCTAGGCTCTCGGCAATTCTTCCAGCTGGTATCAAACTCGCCGACGTAGAGGATATATTCCCGGCGTCTCCGATGCAGCAAGGTCTACTTCACACACAGTCACGCAATCCCGAGCTCTACACTTACCACACTGTTTCGCAAGTGCAGTCTGCCGACGGAAACCTCATAGACCCTCGCCGTCTCGCCGAAGCGTGGCAAGTTGTGGTACACCGCCACCAAGCCTTGCGTGCCATCTTTGTCGACAGCCTTGCAAAGGATGGATCCAAGGATCAAATAGTAGTCAAAGAGAAAGCTGGACGGATCCAAATGCTCGCTGACTGCGACGATAGCCACGTCGCCAATCTCCTGCGAGATCAGTCTTCGATCGACTGCCGAGAAGCTGTACCGCCTCATCGTATGACCATCTGCAAAACAAAGACCGGCAAGGTATGGTTTAAGCTCGAGCTTAGCCACGTTATCAATGATGGTACCTCGGTATCCAATCTACTCGCTGATCTCGCGCGCGCATACGCACGGAAGTTGACCCGGGCTGATGCGGGACCTCTTTATTCTGACTACATCGGTTACCTGCTTTCCAGATCTGGTGATGCCGATCTTGCCTACTGGAAGACTCATCTCGCCGGCATCGAGCCCTGCTTCTTTCCCACCCTCAACGACGGTATACCAAGCTCCCCAGAATCTGCCTCTGTCGACATAGAGCTAGGCAGCACAAGTCGTGTCCAGGACTTCTGCAAGCACAACGGCGTCACCCTTTCGAATGTGCTCCAGCTTACTTGGGCTCTTACCCTGCATTACTACGTTGGCACCTTCGATGTGTCATTTGGCTTGATTGCTTCCGGTCGCGATATTCCCGTAAGCAACATTGATGAAGCGGTGGGCTGCTTTGTCAACATGGTTGTCTCGCGCCTATCCTTCTCTGATGAAACAACCATCGCTCAGCTACTGGAAGCTCTCCAAACAGGTTCCACAGAGGCTCTCTCACATCAAGGTTGCTCTCTTGCCGATATCCAGCATGCGCTGCAACTTCCATCATTGTTCAACACGGCTTTCACTTTCCAGAGACGCAGTCTATCGAGCGATCCGGAGGAGACCGCTCTCTTATATGAGGATATGGAAGCTGAAGATGCCGGTGAATACATCGTTACGGTCAATGCGGACGTCACCGACCAAAGTATCACGGTCGATTTCGGCTACTCAAAGGACAGGATCCTGCCATCTCAAGCGCAGAACATGGCAGAGACTTTCAAGAAGATCTTGGACAGCATCGTCGCTTGTAGTGCCAGTGAACTTACCGTCGGCAAACTGGACGTGTTCACAGAAAGCAGCCTTGGTCAAATCATGGAATGGAACCCCCAGCTTCCGCCGCCCATCCGCCGTTGCGTGCACGATGTCATTCATGATCAGGCGCTTACGAGGCCACGTACGACAAAGGCTGTGGAAGGCTGGGACGGATCGTTCACCTACCAAGATTTCGATAAGATCACCAACCAGCTAGCAGTCCATCTGCAGTCTATCGGTGTCACCACTGAGACTTTCGTTCCTATCCTTTTCGAGAAATCCTCATACGCCATTGTCAGTATGATTGCAATCATGAAGGCAGGCGGTGCATACGTACCGCTGGATCCTAAGCATCCACAAACCCGGCTTCGCGAACTCATCGAGGATGTCGGTGCCTCAGTAGTGCTCTGCTCGCGCGGCTACCACACCAAAGCAAGTGAGGTCGCCAAGACAGCCGTGATCGTTGATCAGCGATCAACCAGAAAGCTGGGAGTACCAACATCTAGTAAGCCACGCTCTACAGCAACTCCCGATAATGCAGCGTACTGCCTGTTCACGTCGGGTACTACCGGCAAGCCGAAGGGGACCATCATACCCCATCAAGCATTTTGCACGAGTGCAGCGGCATTCACTCGTCGTATGAACATCAATGCAACCTCACGCACCTTTCAATTCGCTTCGTACACGTTCGATGCCAGTTGCATTGAAATTCTTTCCGCACTGACTGTAGGCGCTACCGTGTGTGTGCCAACGGAAGACGATCGTATGAACAACGCTGCCGGGGCCATCCGTAAGCTGAGGGTTAACTGGTCGTTGTTAACTCCCTCTGTTCTTGGAACTATCGAACCGGAGCGCGTCCCAGGCCTGAAGACGCTGGTTTCTGGAGGTGAAGCGCTTCCCGGCCCCATTCTCAAGAAGTGGGGCAGCAGCACATGTTTCATCAACGGTATGCATAAAACGCCCTTGTCTTTTGTGAAGATACATATTGACCATCCATAGCGTACGGACCCACAGAGTGCTCAGTAGTAGCTGCTACCGCTTACAAGTCCACACTGGATCACAAGCTCATTGTATCCGAGCCTGGTACTATCGGTACCGGAAGCGGATGTCGACTTTGGATCGTGCATCCACGAAATCACGATAAGCTCATGCCTGTTGGCAGTGTAGGCGAGCTTGTCATTGAAGGGCCCACCGTTGCTCGTGGATACTTGAATGACGAAGTCAAGACTGCGAAGGCTTTCATCAACGACCCAGCCTGGGCTAAGACCATCTCCTCCAGCAACAATTCTTTCGAGACTGCTCGCATGTACAAGACTGGTGATCTTGTCCGCTACAACACCGATGGTTCGGTCAACTACATCGGACGCAAAGACACCCAGATCAAACTCAACGGTCAACGTATCGAGCTAGGTGAAATCGAGTTCCATGTAGGGAAGAACTTTCCCGAGCGTGTACAGTCTGCAGTGGAGCTTGTCGCCCCTTCGAGCACCAGCTCTGCGAAGGCCTTGGCTGTGTTCTTTGCCATCGTCCAAGATCAACCCGTCGATGGAGAGCAAACCGTACAACCTGTTTCGACCGACTTACCAGCTGCAGACGATTTACTTCTTCCGCTCAGCGACGACCTTCGCGATATGTGCAAGAACACTGAGAATGGCCTGGCTGGCTCACTACCGTCGTACATGATACCCGCCATCTTCATTCCTGTTACGAAGTTGCCTTGGACTTCGGCAGGCAAGCTGGACCGCAATCGTCTACGCAGCTTAGTACAGAACCTCAACCGCGAGACATTGGCCATGTATCGACTCACGAGCATCGCGAACAAGAAGAAGCCCACCACAGAAGCGGAGAAGAAGATCCACAAGGCGGTCTGTTCGGTACTGAGTCTGCCATCTTCGGCAGTAGGTATCGACGACAGCTTCGTTCGTCTCGGCGGTGACTCTATCTCTTCTATGCGTCTTGTTGCAATGGCCCACACTGAACAACTGGAGCTATCCTTCATCGATATTTTCAAGAATCCGAAGCTCTCTGATCTAGCCAAGATCGGATCTCGTGCTGGCAAGTCTAGCCAAGCCGAGAAGGTCATACAGCCTTTCGGTCTACTGCCGACTTCCCTTACAAGATCAGAGGTAACGAGTGAAGCTGTACAACAATGCCGAGTATCCAAGGACAACCTGCAGGATGCCTATCCCACGAGTTCACTCCAAGATGCACTACTGACCCTCTCCATCAAGCAGGCAGGTGCATATGTCGCGCAGCACGTCTTGGCACTTCCAAAATCCCTGGACATGACGAAGTTCAAGGCAGCCTGGCAGTCAGCCATTCAAGAGATCGACATTCTTCGCACCAGAATCATACAAATGCCATCTGGTACATTTGTGCAAGCTGTTTTGAAGAAAGACCCAATTGATTGGAGAGAAGCAAAATCTCTCAAGGACGCCGAGGGCGATGCCACGAAGATTCCTTCGCATCTTGGCGGACATCTTGCAGCGTATACCTTGGTCACTACGCGATACGGAGAACGTTACTTTGTATGGACACTGCATCATGCTTTGTATGACGGTTGGAGCATATATCTGATGCTCCAGCGCGTGCAGCAGATCTACTCCAAGGGGGCGTCGGCCATGCCACAGACACCATACGCCAGATTCGTGGAATACCTCTGCAACAACAGCGTCACTGACTCGAATCTCTACTGGAAGGAGAGCCTGACAGGGCTCAACGCGTATCAATTCCCTCAACCATCTCATGCCAATACGAATGTACCGCCAAATGGGCAGTTGTTTCAGCATTCTATGAAGATCGCACATCGCAAGAATGCGGATGTCACACCAGCAAACGCCATTCGAGCTGCCTGGGCTTTACTGGTTGCCGCGTATACTGGAAGCGATGACGTGGTATTCGGAGAGACCCTCGCTGGCCGAGACGTTGCCGTGGCAGGTATAACAGACGTATGTGGCCCAACTCTGACGACGGTTCCTTCTAGAGTGAAGATCGATCGTGGAGCCACCGTTAGCGATTTGCTCAGCACGATAGCGGCAAACGTCACCGACCGGATACCTCATCAGCACCATGGTCTTTCCGCTATCAAGGCACTCGGTGATGATATGGTAGCTGCTTGTGAGTTCCAGAATCTTCTTGTCATCCAGACGGAGAATGAGGAGCTTGCCGACTCAATGTGGAGCGTTCACGACAACGAAGAACAAGGCAACTTCTTCACATATCCCCTGGTGATTGAGTGTAAGATGGGTTCATCAAAGACCGAAGTGTTGGCTCATTTCGACGCGAACGTCATCTCTCTTTGGCATGTTCAACGCATCGTCTACCAGTTCGAGGCAGTGTTGGTACAGCTCCAATCTGTTACTCACATTCGACATGTAAACGTCCTCAGCGACCAAGACAAGCAGCTTGTGCGCAGATGGAATGCGTATGAGCCTGAACTGATCGATGACACGATACCATCGCTCTTTTTCAAGAAGGTTGCATCTCAACCCACTGCCACAGCCGTGACCGCATTTGACGGTGACCTTTCATACAGCGAGCTCAGTACCTTGGCATCACAAATGGCACAGGAGTTGGTGAAACTTGGTGCTGGTCCCGAATGCCTGATCCCCATCTGCCTAGACAAGTCTCGATGGGCCATCGTCGCGATCATGGCCATCCTCGTCTCTGGTGCCGGTTATGTTCCGCTGTCTCCGGCAGATCCGGCTTCGCGACATCTGCATATCGTCGAGTCTTGCAAGTCTTCAATTGTTATTTGCTCGCCAACTTACGCGCACCGTTTCGTTGAAATGGTCGATCATGTGTTCAGCGTCAGCGAATCCGCAATCCGACAATTGCCTACCTGTTCAATGTCTTTGTCGCACCGTGCCAAGAGCAACAACATCTGCTACGTCATCTTCACATCCGGCAGCACCGGATTGCCAAAGGGTGTGGTGATCGAGCACAAGAGTATCGCTTCTAGCTCAGCCGCCATATGCGAAGGACTCCATGTTACGCCTACTTCTCGGGTCTTCCAGTTCTGTTCCTTCTTATTCGACGTTTCTGTCGGCGAAACCCTTGCTGTTCTTATACGCGGCGCAACGATCTGCGTACCATCCGACGAAATGCGCACCACAAATCTTGCGGCGGCAGTCACGGATCTAAACGCGAACTGGGCCTTCTTGACCCCATCAGTAGCTAGCACCTTGGACGGTCCGAATGCTGTACCCACACTGGAAACTTTGGTAGCCGGTGGCGAGGCGATGAGTTCTGATGTTGTCGACAAATGGGCAACCGGTGTCAAACTCCAGAACGGCTACGGTCCCACTGAGGGCACCGTCTTTGCTATCGCAAACGACCACGTCTCAGCGCAACGAGATCCCGCAAACATCGGGCACGCCCTAAAGAGTGGTCGGGCTTGGCTCACCAACTCTGATAACCCTCACGAGCTAGCACCTATCGGGGCCACCGCCGAACTGTGTCTAGAGGGGCCGTTGCTTGCTCGAGGTTATCTAAATGACCCTGATCGTACTGCAGAGGCATTCATAGAAGCCCCAGCATTCTTGAAGGACTTTTCTTCAAGTAGTGGATCCCGAATATACCGTACCGGAGATCTTGTTCAGTACACTGCCGATGGTTCTATTGAATACATTGGGAGAAGGGACAACCAAATCAAGCTCGCTGGTCAACGCATCGAGCTTGACGAGATTGAAGCAAACGTGCATGCGGACGACAACGTCCACCAAGTGGTAGTGCAGCTACCCAAGATCGGACCTTGCACCAAGAAACTCACGGTCGTCGTTAGCTTTCCTGGAACTGCCGCTTCGAACGCCGGCTCGGACTGGCGTATGGTCCTTTCAGACACGGAGACGCTCTCGCGAATAAATCGTTCAAGAGAAAGGTTGGCTGATATGGTACCGTCGTACATGGTACCATCCATTTGGATTGCCGTACCTCGTATTCCAGCTTTGGCTTCCACCAAGTTGGACAAGAAACAAGTTGGTTTGTGGTTGGAGGGAATGGATGAGGCTACCTACCAGCGAATCATGGGAGCTGAACTTGTTGAGGAAGTGGAAGGACCTGGTGCTGCCGCACTTACGGTTCTTCGAGGCATATGGGCGAAGGTATTGGACTGCCCTGTCGAAGATGTCAAGCCGTCCAAATCCTGGCTATGTGAGTATCCTGAAAATCAGTCACCTTGTACCTTACTAACACTCATCAGCACACGGAGGTGACTCAATTTCTGCAATGAAGCTTCTTGCAAAGTGCAGGAGTGAAGGCATCAACCTCACCTTGAACCAAGTCCTACGCGCCAAAACCCTCTCTCACCTAGCGGCTGATGTCAAATCCGTGGTCGTCTTGGACCATGAGAAAGAGCAGACCGATCGACCATTCCCACTCTCTCCCATCCAGCGGTTCTATTTCGAGACCGGCAGAACTGAGAGCAGTACACACTTCAACCAGTCATCGACGCTGCGCATCTCGCAATACGTAGAGCCGGCTGTGATACAACGCGCTTTTGATTCAATCGTCGGATGCCATTCAATGCTACGTGCACGGTTTTCCAAGAATGATGATGGGCAATGGCAGCAGCTCGTGATGTCGAAGGTTCCTGGATCATACGCTTTCACAGCACACGACGTTCCAAGCGCTTCTGCTGCTGGGGCTATCATTTCGGATACGCAAAAGAGCCTGGACATCTACACCGGGCCAGTCTTTGCAGTAGACCTTTTCAATCTGAAGGGCCATCAGATGCTCTTCATGGCCGCTCACCACCTCGTTATAGATGTTGTGAGCTGGGGGATCCTGCTCGGCGACTTGGAAGACCTCCTTGCGTCGGGCCCAGTCAAACCACTTCCAAGGGGTCTCCCCTTCCAAACTTGGTGCGAGATGCAGACCTTAAACGCTTCGGAAACATCACAGCAACTAGCTGTGCAAAGCCAACCGCTCGTCGTCGAACCCGCGAACTTTGCCTTTTGGGGTATGGACGTACGGCCCAACCTTTACGGTGACTCCGAAAGGGACGAGTTTGTCATCAATAAGAAACTCTCTGCCATGGCTTTCGACAATCACCATGTTTACAGGACGGACCTTGTCGACATCCTCCTGGCAGCCATTGTACACTCGTTCTCTCGTGTGTTCATCAACCGCAAGGCACCTACCTTGTTCAATGAATCACATGGCCGAGAAGTATGGGATGCGAGCAACCTTGATCTGTCACGGACCGTCGGATGGTTCACAACAATCTATCCAATCACTGTTCCTATTGGTGATGACGAGGACGAGGTCATACACACGCTCCGACAAGTCAAAGATACCCGTCGCAAGGTTGCAAGCAACGGACGACCTTACTTTGCACACCGCTATCTCACAGATGATGGAAAGCAACGCTTTGCGAACCACGCGCCAATGGAAATCTTGTTCAACTACCTTGGCCGGCAGGAACAGTCTGGACAAAGCGATTCGCTTTTGAGGCCTGCGCAGGTAGAAGGCGACGATGATGAGGAAACATCCGACGTTGGTGTCAAAACCAGTCGTATGGCACTCTTTGAAATCTCCGCTTCCGTCTCTGAAGGTCAAATTCAGCTCAGCTTCATGTACAATCGCCACTCGAAGAACCAAAAAGGTATTCGCCGGTGGATTGCTGAGTGCCAACGCACGTTGGAGGAGATTGCTACTGAGCTGGCCAAGACGAATGGGCCACAACCCACTATGGCCGACTTCCCGCTGCTACCACTAGAGTCTTACAGCCGCCTTGATCGGGTCTTGAAGACTCTGCCACACGCTGGTGTTCCGTCTTTTGATCAAGTAGAAGACATGTACCCTTGTTCCCCCATACAGGACGGTATGATCTTGAGTCAGATCAAGTCTCCAGAATCATACTGGTCATCAACAACATTCGAAGTCAGGTCTAAGCGAGGGCCGGTCAATGCAAGCAAGGTTGTGGATGGATGGAAGCAAGTCGTGGCCCGTCACCCAGCTTTGCGCACCATCTTCATTGACAGTGCCTGCAAGGGAGGCGTCTTCGATCAGATTGTTGTGAAGAGTCCCGATTCCGGCATTGTTACCTACAAGTGTGCCGATGCCGAACTGACGGCTCTACTTGAGTCAATCAAGCATAGCTCTCTCAACGGAAAGAAGAAGCCCGTTCTTCCGCACCAAGCCGCGGTCATTCAGACCTCCTCGGGAAAGATCTTTGTCAAGGTCATCGTCAATCACGCCGTCATCGATGGAGGCTCTCTGGGCGTCATTGGCCAGGATCTTCAGGAAGCTTATGAAGGGCGTCTATCTGAGGACGGCCCTCTATATAGCGATTACATCAAGTACCTGCGTGCACTTCCAGCGGACGATGCGGTAGCATACTGGAAGGCCAAGCTTCGCGGAGTCAGCCCGTGCTACTTCCCGACCACACCCCGGGACCCAAGCAAACCAAGACAGCTCCGATCCCTGGACATGCGTTTCACCCGCTTTGACGAGCTTCATGAGCTTGCAGAGAGCAGCAACGTTACTATTGCCAATATCCTTCTTGCAGCTTGGGCTCTAGTTCTCCGATCCTACACCAACTCCTCCGACGTGTGCTACGGCTATCTTACCTCGGGAAGGAACGTACCGATCGACAAAATCGAGAGCGCGGTCGGCGCTTTCATCAACATGTTGGTTTCTCGTATCGAGTTGAAACCGGCTATTTCGCTCCTCGAGATTGTTGAAAAGGTGCAGTCTGATTTTGTCGACTCCATGCCTCATCAGCATTGCTCGCTTGCCCAATTCCAGCATGATCTCGGACTATCAGGGAAGTCGCTCTTCAACACTGCTGTTTCGATTCAAAGACGTTCGAGTGCCGAAGAACCCACATCAGACGACTCTGGTATTGAGTTTGAGCAGCTTGATGGCCATGATCCTAGCGAGTTTGCTATCACGGTCAACATCGATGCCACTCGCGACGATGAAGGGGTGCGCTTCACTTACTGGAGTGATGCTGTAACCGATGGTGAAGCCAAGAACGTTTCTGCTCTCATGGGAAAGATTCTAGTGCAAGCCTTGAACAACGCAAAGCAAACTGTTGCAGAGCTGGATGTTATCGTCAAGGGTAAACCTGCGCAACCTGCGCCCTCACGTCTCAACTTACCCAAGCCCCGTCCTTCGATTCTCAGGTCTAGCTCGAGCATATCCAGTGGGTCAACCTCACCACCTCGCACACCAAGAATCACATCCCCCGATCTCGCTCCGGCGCCGCCACTTCCAGCTGAAACACCTGATTGGAGCAGTCTCATCAGGTCCATTGTCAGCGAGATGGTCCCTCAAATTGTCGAGCAGATCGTAGCGCAGAACAAGCTACCTAACGAACCCACATCTGCCACAATCGATCAGATGACCACCCAAATGACGGGCATGCTTACAAGAAGGACTTCCATGTCTCAACGTGGACGACCAAGTATCGATGACGCAGGTTCCACAAGAGCAGCGTCCATACGTTCACGACGCGCGATGAGCATCGCCAGTAATGCAGAGAATAGGATCCAGACGGCTGCTGATATGGTCGCCACTTTGGGTGTTCTGGCTACCGAGGCTTCTACCAAAGTTGCACCAGACTTCGTGGAAAAGAAGCTTCTGACTTTGTGGAGCGAGTTGCTGGAAATGGTAGAGGAAACCATCGAGCAGGATGACAGCTTTTTCCAACTCGGAGGCGACAGTATCATCGCTATGCGCCTAGTTGGAGCCGCGAGAGAGGAGGGCCTGTCGATGACCGTGGCCGATGTCTTCAAAAACCCGACATTCGCCGACATGGCTCGGGTCGTGCGTGTTGCTGGCGAAGTCATTGACGAGGTCATGTCTCGGGCCGGCGGCGGATCAGTGGCAGGTAGGAGTGTTGGAGGTCAGTCGAGGTCTCGCCTTCACGACAGAGCCCCATCAATCTGGAGTGAGTTCCAGGATATCATGTCGGATCCCAATGCCGACACTAAGAGCATGGCTCCTAGCGAGATCCCTGCCGAATCAGAGATGAACAACCGTGATTCAACAATGTTCAAGAGATGGCAAGGGCTTACGACGAACCCAACGAGGCCGACCGCCGACCGCAAAGTGAGCCAGAAGTCGCTAGCCACGCATACAATTCAAGAAGGAGTTGAGAGCTCTGCGAACAGATCCGTGTCGATGCTTGGCGATCCTAACGTTGATAGCGTTATTTCGAAGGTGCAAGTATTCAAGGGAGGCATCTCTGATGTGTTCCCTGTCACCGACTTCCAATCTCTTGCTATTACCGGCACCCTCATGGAGTCCAAGTGGATGCTCAACTACTTTTACCTTGATGGCAATGGACCACTTGATCTTCGCAAGTTGAAGCAAGCTGCCTACCGCATGGTACAAGCCTTTGATATCCTCCGCACTGTGTTCGTCCCGTACGGTGACCGCTTTCTCCAAGTGGTATTGCGTAAACTTCAACCCGAGTTCATCTACCACCAAACAGACGACGACATCGAAACCTTTACCACAGACCTGCGACAGAAGGACCGTGAGAATGGACCAAGGCTCGGCGAAGCGTTCATCCAGTTCGTCGTTGCAAAGCAAAAGCAAACGGGACGACACCGTATCTTTATGCGACTGTCTCACGCCCAGTACGACGGAGTTTGCATGTCAAAGATTCTGGGCGCGCTCCAAGATGGGTACAACGGCCTTCCTGTCTCGTCTGCTCCAAGCTTCGGTAATTTTGTACGGGAAACTACAAAGGCCGTATCTGGTGCCCACGACCACTGGAAAGAAGTGCTTCGTGGTTCCAACATGACCGAAATCGTGAACCGATTCGGTCCCAACTACCAGCGCTCAGCTGGCCAAACAATCACATTGGAGAAGAGAGTCAATGCGCCAAAGCTGAAAGGTGTCAACATCACCAGCGCGACTGTAGCCAAGGCTGCTTGGGCTTCGACTCTCTCGCGCCTTGTAAGCAAGGCTGACATCGTTTTTGGTCATGTCATATCGGGTCGCAACGGCGGCGTTGCCAACGTCGAGAACATTGTCGGGCCCTGTTTGAACATGGTACCTGTTCGCATTGTATACCGTCCTGAATGGACTGTGATGGATCTTCTCAGGTTCATCCAAGATCAGCAAATCGCAAACATGCCGTTTGAGTCTCTCGGCTTCCGCGAGATCACACGACACTGCACAGAGTGGCCCGATTGGACAAACTTTTCGAGCGTCCTGCAACACGACCAGAACATCCAGGATGATCGACCAACTATGCAGCTAGGCGGTATCGAGTACACGATCGGCGCCGTGGGCTCACAAGAAGACTTTGCAGACTTCTCCATCCATACAACATCTCGTGGTAACCAAATGGATGTCACTTTGACGTACGCTCCGAACAGCACCATTACTGCAGAGTTTGCACAACACGCATTCGATATGCTGTGCGCCAATGTTGCCGCCTTCTCGGAGGATCCGCATAGCCTGCTCCCATCCCCCTCAGAACTCAGCTCCCATAGCTCGACTACCGTCAACTCGGAAAAGATGCGCAAGAAGTCCACAGAGAAGCAGCCTGTCTCTTTGCCAACCGACACAGGCCTCTCGCATCACGAGATTACTACCCTCGCCTCAACTCTGCGATCAGCCTGGGAGCAGATTCTGCATGATGAGCATGGCTCCCCGATACCCATAGAGCTTGGCTCCGACTTCTTCCAGCTGGGTGGCGACATCATGGGTTTGGCACAAGTTGCGTCCATTCTCGACCAAGACGGGCTCAAGGTCAGGGTCGAAGATTTGCTCGACAAGTCCGTGTTCGTCGATCAAGTGAGCATACTCGCTGTGGAGCGCAAGAAGCAGATGGAGAAAGAGATGCAGAATCCTTGGGGGGATAAGGCCAAGGCGAGAATTGGAGTTGAGGAGAAGACAAAAGACAAAGAGAGGAGGGCTAGCGGTTTTGGATCACTCGCTAAGAGGATTGGATTCAAGAGGGCGAAGAGCTCTCAAGCTTTGTAATCGACGCAACACGGTAGTGGTTCAGATTGGTTTGGTTGTTATAGGCTTTTCGTGTATAGCTTGTCATCTGCGCTCACTTGTTTTTATTATCTCCTTTGTATGTTTTCAGTATTTTTGAACATCCTGGGCGTTCGGCGTCAGCGTTCGAATTTGTAGTGCACTCACATTATGAAATAAATTTGCTTACACTATATATGTCAATGCAGCATCCGGTCTTTATGTCAACCTTCTTGTGCATGCAAAAATATTCTACTGCCTCTCTCGCCCTCCGACATCGCTTAGCGAACGTTTCCTCTTCTTCCCACTTATTGGTACTATAGTATCCTTCCGCAACCACCCATTCCTTCTATCTACGCTTACAAAGAGCCTCCAAACCTCATAGTAGTAGTCTTTCTTCATCATGCTCTGGATTTCTACCTTCGTGCAACTCGTATTGATCTCGTCATCCGTGTAGTGGCGATATGCGCGATTACCACTACCACATACAGAACAATCAAAGACATCGGCTAGCCATGTAAAGGCTTCAACACCGCATGTGTTACATACCGCATAGTTGATGGTTATGTCAGGATAAATGTTATAAAATGACATTAAGGCTTGGTTTCGATATGCGAGTTGCAGGTCAAGTTCGTGTTGTGGTTGCTGAGAAGAACTGCACGAAGAATGGGACTGCGCGGAGGCTGCGCCTGTCAGAATTATGTGTGCGATCAGGGAAGGTCGGCATCGATGGACGATGTCAAAAATTTCATTAATAACATTACTATACATTTCTTTCAATAGGCTTCATCATACTTTGACAGGTACAGCTTCCTATACTTCCCCGTCACCGTCTTCTTGGTCCGGGCCCGGCTTGTGACCGTGACCTTCAATATCTTCCATGTCTTCATCCATACCCGGCCATAACACCTTCCTCTGCAGTACGCCTTTGACATTAAGCACCGCCACCCAGATCCATAGCATGACCAAGATGACAGTTGCTGCACTACACACTCCCTTGATCCCTGGGCTGTTCAGCGCGTTGGCGATATAAATAAGCGCGATCGTCATCCCGGCATTCGGGAAAATGAAGCCCCAATGATTCAGCGTGAAGTGCGACTCCTTGGCGCTGATGACAATGCTGATGGTAGCGATGGCGCTGAACCAGAAGGAGATCAGCCACAGGAAGACGCCCAGGATGAACCCGAAAGCTTTGAAAGCATCGCCAACAGGGAAGGAAGTAATTCCCAACAGATTCTCAGGGACATGTTTTGGTGCCTGCAAGCCAAGCGCGATGCAAGCATTGGCGGTATATGCAGCTGGGCCAACAGCAACGTACATGCCTGGGCGTTTGGGTATTTCAGGTAAGTTGCTGTTGACCAGACGTGTGAAGTAGAGCGAAAGCATCAGGAATGCGATGGTCCAGCCTAGGCCCTGGAAAGTGACGCTGCCAATAAAGATGTTGAAACCAGGGCCAGGTGGCTGACTCTTCAGTAATGTGCTGCCTAAGACTCCCAAGACAAGGAATGGGTATACCGGCAGAATCCAAGCGGGCATCGCATCCTTAACGGGAAGCTCACGTCGGTCGAATATGACATGGTACTGGAAGACAGCGACCAGGATGACGATTGCTGCGTACAGCCAGAACAGTATCTCCAATGTCTTGACAAGCCATGGTCCACTGGATGGTACGCCGTAAAGTTCGATACAATAGATGATGAGTGCAATAGAGACAAAGAAGGCTCCGAAGAAGAAGCTTTCGTGAGGATGATGCAGACTGAGCTTGAGAGAACCGCGGTTGTGAATGAAGCGGTATGTGATGCAGGCGCTGAACGCGAGGAACAGGACGATATCCAATATGAAGAAAATCTTTCCAATGGTCTTCAGTCCGTGGAAGCTGTATGGTTGTTGGCCAAGAAGTGTCGCAATGGCGCCGGTTGACATGGTGCATTCAAACCATGACCAGGTGAAATGGTCTAAGCGCTTCTTCCACGGCAGATATGTGGGGTTGTAGTCTTCTCTCTCTGCGGGCCGTGGGCGCCGTTTGATGGGTCTGGCGCGGGAAGTCATGTTTTCGGTGGAGGAGGATCCAGATACCGACGAGTGCGTTGACCCGGGATGTGAAGATGATGGGCGCGATGGGGACATGGTGATTTACCTGTGGGGGATGTTGATGACAGCGAAGCAGATGTCATATTGCTTGACGTCAATTTGGCATGCGCTCGTCGAAAGCCAAGTGGATACAAGCGGCATAGTCAAGGTGCCATGCCTTTCCAAGGTTATGGGAGCACGCTAGCGGCTGCATGAAGTTTAGCGCTTGCCAATCTCAGTGCAGACCGATCGAAACAGGTCCTGCAATCCTTCAATGCTTGAGCCTCACAGATCATCACACGCAACCATTACGGTCACCTCCGACACTGCCACCATGTCAATATTGTATCTTCCCAAGGCTTATGTGTCTTAGTGTCGAAACGCGCTCCACCGACAGCGCTGCGGTTGATGATGTATCTATGACGTTTCCGCTAGAACTAGTGCCGCATTCACGCCCAGACCCATGTAAAGTATCGCTGGGTCCTGGAAGGCCGGTAGACATTGCATTTCGAAATGTCTTTTTCAGACGCATACAACAGCAAGAAGCGTGCTATTTCATCCGCGCTGCCGAACAATTCCTACCTTCGCTGGGATGCGCCTGGCGTGGAGGCACCGAAGTCTAACGAGGCTGAGACGGCAAAGAAGATTGGAGAGACGATGAACTGGATGCAACAGCACAACTCACGTCAAGACGCAGGGTATCGTCAAGGGCAAGATGACTGTGCTTCCGGATTTGCCGGCACATTTACAGCAAGGCCTTTTCAAGACCCCGGGGGAGGCGTACGATGTTGCAGCACGATATGCTAACGAACCTGTCTTTCTTCAGGCCGACCAGGAACCTGGGCCTCGCGGCCTAGGAATGCGAGTATTCGGAGTGCAGGGAGAGAGGCTCCAAAGCGCTGACCCTGAGGTTAGTACCCAGGATTTCTTCTTTAACAACGCTCCGTCTATCGAACTGACCGACATCGATACCTGTCTTGAGATCACGCAACTGAGAGAGAAGTACTTTGATGGTCCCTAGAAGCTGGCTGCAGCGACGAAACTAAGGACAGATGCAATCAAACAAAGCGCACCTGGTATGGGTTTTATTGTCGCAATGCGTCTTCGTCTTGGCTCATGTTAGCAGGTATGCTTCCGAATACCAACATGATCAGCCACTCGTTCTACACGCAAAGCGCGTTTAGATTTGGGGATTGGTGTGGCCACATGGCGCTTTTTCCAGTGCTTGACGACATGAAGAACCGAACCGAGAAAGTCAAGGGTGGTGACTCTCGAGAAGTGCTTCGAGACTGGCTGTCGGAATACTTTGCCCAAAACGGCGCCAAGTATGAGTTTAAAGTCAGTTCTGTCGTAACTGTCGGCTGCGCTGTTCTGATTCCAGTAGATTCAGCTAGGTATCTCGCCTGATCATCATCCAACTGAAGATGGATCAGTAGTGTGGGATGAAGCTACCGCACCATACCAGACGATCGCGACAGTTGAGTTTCCACCGCAAGGTGCCCTGAGCGCCGAGCGACGAGTGTTCTGGGAAGACACAATGAAGCTGAACCCATGGGTTGGTATGGTTGATCATCAGCCACTAGGCAGTATCAATCGCTTGAGGGAAACGGTGTATGAGATGAGCAGGAAGAAGCGCGAAGCTGCAAACGCCACGCTGACTCAAGCCATCAACAGTGTCGATGAGGTGCCATAGACATCGTGCTTTTGATTAACGTCAGCATCACAGGATCTTCAGCCCAATAGTGTCTACAAATTTTCCCTGTCCAGACAAGAATTTCCGGCACAGTCAAAGCGTAACCTTCACATATCAAGTTTCCACTCATGCTTTCGAAACGAGGAAAGCGATGCTCTCCAGCCACTACTACACACAGCCATTACTTTGTCTACCATGAATACGAGCTTTTACACACAGAAACGGCATCTAAAAGGCTCGTACAGATTAGGGAATTTAGCCATGTAGCAGCTGACGTTAAACTACCAATTAGCGCGTCTTCAGACGTGGGACCATGTGATTGGTATCCGTATGCTCGCGCATCCCATTGGAGGCTGAAAATAGCTGTCCAATCAACGCGACAGCCACCAATACTTCTAACCAAGAAGTTCGGTTCTTGATAACTGCTCGGTCATACCGGTGCACTCAGCTTCCTCCTGTGTAGAGAAGAGTAGCAAGCTGGTTGCTTCGAATACGAGGAGTAGCCACGCTATGTGCTGAGTCCCATTACAGTATAAAAGGGTCCATCATGGCTTCGTTTCCAAGAGGTGTGCATCTCGAACCTCAGATACCATTTCCAGTTGACAATTCACTTCAAGATGCTCTTCAACGCATTGACAGTTCTTTCTATCATCGCAAGCGCCCATGCCACAGGTCGTGCGATCGTTACCAACCAATGCCCCGAGCCCATCTATCTCTGGTCCGTTGGTGGTAGCATAAGTGACCAACACATCGTCAATCCTGCCACATCCTACAGTGAATCCTTCGTCACTGACCCGAAATCTGGAGGCATTGCGATCAAGATATCACCAATCGAAGGCGGTGAGAAATGCCCTTGTACGGACTGCATGTGAGACAAACACTGACTTTGCACGCCTACCATTAGGTATTTTCAAGCCAAACGTCAGCCAAACGATCTTCGCGTACAACCTCGACGTTGACCAGATCTGGTACGATATGAGCGACATTTTCGGTAACGGCTTTGCGGGAAGTACCATGACCCTCAAGCCGACGGATTCAACGTGTGAGAGCATCGTGTGGGCGTACGGAAAGCCGCCCGCTGGTAGTCAGGTCAAGAACTGTGGAGCTGAGACGGATCTTGAGCTGACATTTTGTACCGACCAGTGCTTGCCGAGTTGGTCTCCTTGTGGAAGAAACGCGCCGCCGGGTGAGACGAGGACGTGCTGCACGCATTGTATTGGCGATCATCACTGTGTTGCTGCACCCAATTAAATGCACCCTAACACTGTGCCGAACATGAATGATCGAAGGAACAGCGAGCAATTTGACACGACGAGGAAAGAGCTATGTGGGCATCAGCCGCACGCGTTGAGATTGCGGGGCAGGCTATACTGGTTCGGGTTTCGATTTGGATGGGGGAGGGGTAAAACGCCTCATGCTATATCTGATTTCACCTCATTTTCCTTGCTTGTTAGTATGCCCTCATCAGGAATTAAAAAAATTCCTCTGGGTGTAACCACCTCGTGCCAATTCTACACATAACCCAGACCGCATTTGCTTTCTTTTATTTTCCAACGCTCGGATCGATCTACTGTACAGTGATGCTTCCTGAACAAAATCTAAAACCCTCGTGTCTGACACTAATTTAGATTCCAGCCATTGCCATAAACATGCACACTCTACCCTAGAGCATGACCACGTCTCCCTCGGCATCCCACTCAATCTCAATCCTATCCATCGGTTCCTGATGTACTCCAAAGGGACCCATAGCTTTCCGATAACATGTATATTCTCCCCGACGTAGCCTATCCGGCTCACTCTTCATTCTCCACGGCGTGCCACTTTCTGAATCCCAAGTCTTCATGGTCCAGGGTGGAAAATAGAGATACACCGCAACCTCAGCATCGCGGAACATGGCGCGCACATCGTCTATTGGGTCTAGGCATCTTGCTAGATCAGCACGAGCCCTGGTATTCTCTAGATATTCAATGTGGTAAGCTTCCACCCGCTTCAGGTTGGGAAAGCAGCAGGCTTTCTTGGCGAGACAGAGATCGTTGAGGAAATTAGCTGTGATATGCGTCGCTTCGCTGATACGTAATATTTCCAGTGTCCTCGGAAAGATCTCTCTCGGGTTGGCGTTGGGTGTTCCTTGGCGCGCGATGGTATGGCCTTCGATTGCTCTCATGGTAAGGGTGACTTCCTTTAGAGTCTCGAAACGTCGGAAATCAAAAAGCGTGATCACATTATGTTCCCACACCAAAGCCGTCATGTCACTGGGCACCTCGAGCACTGTTAAATGAGGTAGTGTGGCTGTGAGTGCGCCACTGAGGAAACTGTGTCTCCACAACCATGGATGTGGAGGGTTCGCGATGGCGGACGGAGAACGTGTGTTGGCGAAGAAAGGAAAATCCATTAGCCACGCGTCGCTGACGTTCAACTCACGTAAGTTGGGAAGTACGCAGAGAAGAATGCCAAACAGTGCGGGAACGACATCTGTCTTGATAGAGTTGATCCAATCCTTCGCGTGTCGCTTGTTGGCGGCGTATTGCTGGATCATGGTCTTGCATATTTCCATGAATTCGGCTTGCTGTGTTATGCGATCTGGAGCGGGGGTTGGGTTATAGATGACGTCGGTAAGGTATACGTATACTCCGATGCGATTAACATGTCTTGTCTTTGAAGTTCTTCCTTCACTGCGACTCCAGATTTCCAACTTCTTGACGCGCGACAGCAAGTGCGACCGATGACCCATCTCCCACATATACCCATCAATGAAAGTGAGATTGAACCTTGGTTCTATGAGCAGCCATTCCTGCGCAATAGGCTTCCATTTCTTGGATGTAAGCGCGAGGTTTCCAAGATCCCGATTGCGATTTAGATTTGTGAAGTGTGCGCCAATGTTGAGCAGCAATTCATCGGGGAGGTCGTTGATGGTCGTACGTTCGCGATCTGAGGAAGAGTTGAAAAACCGATGGAACATTATGGATAAACTAGAGAAACCTGGACAGGTTGTATAAGGATCTTACTGGTATAAAAATGGCGACGTCGGCGCGAGGTAGCGATAGGCAACAGCGAGAGTGGTTGACTTGCACACAGGCAGCTTTAGACTATCATCAGCGTTGTTCGTACTCACAGACTTGTGTACGGGCCAACCTTTCGTGTGCTACAAGTGGGTGTGTTAAATTTAGGGCGAGTTTTATGATAGGGAAGCGCACGGTCTTATCACGTGCAACATAGCTTTCACTTTGATCTCCACACGGCTAGTTTATGCAGCGCGTTGGACAGCTGCAATTCACAAGACGAAGTCTGTATCTATCAAGAGTAAGGTATATGTATTAGCTCGTGAAAAAGACCTTCCATAAACATATGTCGACAAAAGTAGGTATAGTATCTGAGGCCATTGCTGCTCGCCATCATTCTCCGCCTTCTCTAAGAGCGCTAGGCTATTCCAGAACTATCGTACCTCGTATGACCGGTTCCGCCTCCAGGAACATCTTCCATTTGACACCGGCCCACAGTGTTGCCCTGAACTGGGAATCTATGCTAATGATGTTGCCAGATCCTAGCCGTAGCCTGTTTATGTCGTCTTGTAGATTGTGAACCTCGGTTGTTGTGTGCGACTCAATTTCAACACACTCAGCACGCTTCGATCGCTTCGGCTTCTCTTCGTACGTACGAAGTTTCTTCGCTGTGTTTCGATGCTGATCTGAAGGCTGCGCGCGCGTGCCATCTATGGTAGTGAAACTAGCACCAAAGAATCGGCTTTCTCTAGGTAGCGGTGCAAGCGTCTGCTTGATCCGGAAACCAAACTGATGGGTATCCAAATCTATGGTGTTGGTCAGCCTGCTGTTCTGGCCACATTGGACCAGAGCTTACTCAATAACGGTGAAAGTCGTCGCTTGAGTGCGTGCTTCCCAAGAGCCCTCTCATTCCATCCACCAGATCCGACAGTTTTCTTCTTCATTCTTGAATCCAGAAGCTGCGGGTCCCATCTGCTGTTCCTGGTGCCGTGGAAGAAGGCGCTCTGTGTCCACGACTCTAGGTTGAAAGTGGGACTATTGAGTAGTTGCGAGTGGTGGTCAGCGTGCCGTAAGAAATATCTAAAGCCCATCTTCAGCGACTGACGCTTCCTGATAGCTTCTGGGTTCCACTTGGAGAATGGCGCGTGCGTGGTCGAGTAGTGCCAGGCCTCTATAGTCGTCAAACGGGAAAGCGCCTCGATCTCTTTGCGCATGTCGACGAGAGTTCCTTGCGGTCCGGTATGGAAAGTGACATTGACCCCTTTACGGTCAAGATCTACGAGTAACTGAGAGTAGTCCAGTTGGCTCAGATCTGCAGCATCGCACTGTATCAAAAGGTTGTTAGGCGATGGCTCGAAAGACAGCTCGACGTGCCTGAGCCTCAATTCTTCCACAGGGACTTCGTTGATTCTTTGCAAGAGGGCAAACATCCATTTGTTGCATGATCGCAGGTGAAGATATTGTATAGTAAGCGGTAAGACCTTGGAACGTAGCTCCGCCAGCGTCTTGTCCATTAGAAGCGCACGATCCATAATTGCTGTGCCATCGTGCTTTGTCACATCCAGACTACTGGTATTGGAGAACACAATGTCATGCGGACGTCCTAAGATATCCATGGGTACATCAAGTCGCTTCAGTCTTGAGAAACCTGCCAACGTAATAATGTGTGTTCCCATGTTCCTCCATTTGAGGTTGTGTGACTCAAGGACCTCAACCGTGGGAGGGCCTTTCCATCTGGTATTCTCCGAGATTATGAGAGCTTCGAGCCTCGCCTGGAACACGTCTAATGCTGGACCTTGGAATGGTGCAGCAGGCAGTAACTCTGGGTTCAGCGCAGGGAAAGCTGATGGAGCCAGGTGTATCGGACGTGGAGGTTGGCCTGAGTGAAATACCCTAGCTTCGGGTAGCTGAACAGTCACCGATTTGATGCTTGGACAAGATATTGCGAGAACGTTGAGAAAGAAGGCTGAATCTGGCTCCCATACAGGACCGACAGATATGTTGTCTTCTCTAACCAGGCTCCAGTCAACGACTCGCCCGGTAGTCGCAGTGATGGCGGTGCCAAGACTTTCTAGGAAATTCGGGCGGAGACCCATCGGATCTGCGTAGAAACGTTCTCCATGGTGCCTGTATCCAAAATCTCCGAGATTAACACTAGATATTTTGTTGCTGAGCTCAGCGTGACCAATGAGCATTTCGAAGAATTCTCTAATGTTCATGCTAGATACGATCAAGCCACGCACGATGGTTTGCTGAACGATCCCACTAATCCGTTTGCTGACGAGTCCGAGGTTGAGGATATGCGTAGTGGCAAGGAGGTTTGAGGCTACCATCTCAATAATCTCGCAAGGCAGGCCAAGTAGGCCGTGATTCTGGAGGAGGTGGATGTCAACTTCGTCTGATCGCACACTCGTATCAGGTTGGTGACCATCTTGCGCGCCTTCGGGGGTAGTCTCCGGTATTGCAGGTTCCCGTGGAAGGGTGGGAGTCTTTGTTCCACTTGCAGGGCTCGCTACGCGTCTCTTCCTGGCACTAGAACTGGGTGGTGTCGTTGGAGCCATGGCGATACAAGAGTGGGGGCGATATGTGATTTGGATGGTTGAGTTGAGACGCTAATAGTTATGATGAACTCCTCTTGAATTTGGTACACGGTTGTGTGTGCATGTGCGAAATATGGCCAGTCACAACTGCGGCAATCGCGGTACCTGCATGTGATCAATGGTCTGTGACGTAATGGAGTGAGTCTGGTGAGACGATTACCTGAAGAACTCTGCCAGATCGTGAGAAACGAACTTTGTTGTGCGATTTAGAGCACAGAAGAAGTGTTGTGGTGCAGTACGGTCCTTGGCTGCTGCTCGTTGACTGAGGTGGGTGGGTGGGTGTGACACGTCGCGCCAAGACGCTATTCTTGAAGCAGGTGACTCGTTCCAAAGCTCTTGCCTTTGATACGCACGCTGATGAGACGAGAAGTTATGGCTACACGCGCGTTCTCGAGTGTCAAATTTGGTATTCACTTGATGCTTTCAATACATTGCAATCTGCCAACAAGTTCATCTCGAATGTGAGAAGCGACCTCCTTCACTGCGAGCTGCGGCAACAGGTTGCATCACTGTTGCTAGGTTTGTATTCATGCGGACGTCTGGAAACATACCATCTACTCTTCCCTCGTTTTAACCCTGAGGAACTGCAATTTGGCTGGTTTGTGGGCTGAGTGTCGATTGTGGTCAACTAAAGGGGCGACACTGAGTGTTTTGCCACTCTCATCTTCAAGTGTGAAGTCGAACGTCGCGATAAAGTATGCGGTGATGATATTCTGCTCCAGTTTAGCGAAGCGCATGCCCAGGCAGGGATGTCGTCCTGATCCCCAACCGACAAAGCCATGCGCCGCCTTCTTCTTGTCCTCGGCGCGCTCTGGCGAGTATCGAGCTGGATCCCATTTGTGAGGATCAGTATACACGTCCGGGTCGAGATGGATATCGCCAGTGGCATACGTGACGAAAGCGCCGGGGGGGATGACTTCGTTGCCGTTGCCTGTGGGTATGCCTTTACTACTGATGTTCCGCCTGAAGGCTGTACCGAGAAGATTCAGTCGTAAAGAATCGCGGAGACACATGTCTATGATCGGAAATTCTGCCTCCCACGCTTCTATGGGCACGTCGTCAAGCTGATCGCGCAAGGGTGCTTTGGGATCCTTAGCGTACTTCGCTGCAGTACTACAGATCTCGTCCTTCGCTTTGGCGAGCCACTCGGGTGAGGTTGCAAGATAGCAGATTACCTAGCAGAGTTCAGTTTTCTTTGGCTTTTACAGTATGCACATGCAGATCCACTCACCCAACCTGCATTGATACCACTATTGATCAGTCCAGCGAACAGCGCTCCAACGATGAACTCGACGATCCTCACAGCACGATCGCCTTGATCTAGCATCTGTTGTAGAGCATCATCGTGTTTCTCGTCACTCGCCGCGCGCTTTTTGATTATACTGTCGATCATCATATAAAGTCGCGTGCCCGCATATGTCCGTTGTATGGTAGCCAGCGAAGGTAGTTTTGGAAAGATAACTGACGTAGCGGTCGCGCTCCTATCGATCATCTCGAACATCTTCAAGGCGGCTTCCAGCTTGTCCGGATCCTCAGCGATCTCAGTAGGGCCTACCATGCGAATAGTAAGGCGAAACACGATGCGATAGAGGCTCTCAAAGGGATTCGTACGACCGCTGGCATCATTCTTGATGGCTTCTAGGGCTTCCTTTGTGTCAGATATGAGAACAGGCAAATTGCGGCGGAAATGCTCTTGCTTCAAGAGGGAGGTGAGGCGGCGATGGAACCAGGCATCGAAACCAAGGTTCTTGTCTTCGTCGGTGATTTCTTTGGTTGCTTTGTTTGATTTGGGCGTTTGGCCGAATAGGACAGAATCTGAATGTGGTGTACAAAGTCAGTACGTGCCTCACATGTAGTTCGCACAGGGAACTTACAGCCCTCACCAAAGCCTAATTCTTTCGACTCAAAAAACACCTGACGTCCCTTGTCTCCAGAGAGCGCAACCACCATGTTCGGCCCCACATGAAAGGAGAAAGTACCAGTTTTGGACTGGTCGCGTCGCTCGCTCCACCAGTTCCACCGTTGGGTCCAGAAGCCAAGGGCTCCAACAACGGGGAGATCGTCGCTGACTTGAGGCGGCGCGTCCGCAGGTATACGATGCGAGTAGGGCAGCAAGATAGTGGTGGTAAGGACCAGTACGACTACCAAGCAAAGAAGGATCGTTTTGGTGTCCACGAATTGGTCGAGGATGTTGAACAGCGCCATTTTGCTAAGTTGTATCACCAGCAATTAGACGATATTATCGCAGTTCAATCCTGTCGACCATGCGGATGGCGGGCGAACCTGGATAAATAGCACAGACAGCCGTGTAACGAGCGGAGAACGGCTGGCTAATGCAGAGCTAGGAGTCCAGATCGGACGCCACTGCACACCAGTGGAGCTGTGCCGTCATCACCACCGTCGTTGCAAGCATCTTGTAGCGTGTTTCAAGCCTGCCAGACTGGGCTGAGCTTATAGACCGATTCTGTGATTAACACCAGCCATAGATTCTATGGCATGGCGTTTCATATTGTCTCAATGCTGGAACAGGCATGATCGCAATATATCTCAATGTTGAGCAGTTTATTGCGACGGCAAATGAGGAAGTTGGCCACAACACTTTATTTGCGATATCTGTACGCACTAGCACTACTGCGGGCGTCGTCTTACAGGATGCAGATCATTTGCAGCCACGCTGCGATTTCCTAGGCTCGTCCTGTGAACATCTCTCCTACATTCCCGGCCACGATGCTCCCATATAGCCGCCGTGGGTTAGACACTTGAATTGCGATTGTGATTACCCGAGTATAATGCAAGAGAAGGACCACCGTGCAGTAGACTTGATCCACAACGCGCACCGCTTGCTCAAAATTGTTTCTTGAAGCGTGTATGGATAGAAATTGCAGGACTCCGGTACGATCAAAGGCACCAAAATGCCGAGTCTCCCCCCGTAGCAATGCCTTTCGACACTAATGATGCTGAAAGCCTGTATAATTCCAAAGGCTCTTGTGGAACTTTGTGGAGGGAAAAAGAGCTCCAAGGCCCTTGCTCAAGTAGAAAACGAGCCATCGGCGTAGACCCGTGGTAGAGCTGCTGCTCGCCTCTGTCCGCGACTATTTCAATACATGCATTCTCGCATGTAACCTCTTCGTTGTATCCTGCTCTTCCTCTTCCTAGAGGCCCGATACACACGTCACTATCGATGTTATCTGCAGACACTACACAGAAAGAACCCCCTATGCCCATAAGATCGTATCCTGCATTGCTCGGCGTTGGTTCTTTTGTGGGTTTGTGTTGCGTGCAATTGTGGTCCGGGGGGATCAAGTCTTGTTTGAACTCGATTGTTGGCTTCTGCGATGAGCCTGCCGGTCGATATCGAGGATATTCGACGATGATACCGTCAGGACGTTCGATCGCGCGATACTTTTTCGTGCGACGCTTGGGTTTGCTTCGAGCTGTCGTAGCGTTATCGAGGTTGGCTTTTGAAGGCATATTCTGGTTGTTTTGGGTGTCGGGCCGGGTCGCTGAGGGCGGGATATATTTAGCTTCGCGCATGTTGAAGTAAGGGGATATGCGGTCGATTGCGTAGTGAGGCTTCGAATGCACTATTGTTGTAGCCAGCGTCTCGAGCTTCTCTGTATCAGTGTATCTGTAGAGCTATCACTTTTATACCTTCTGAGCGATGCAATGCGACGCGTCGCATAGACATAGAGAACCTTCTTCAGCTACGTGACCATGGTCTGGAGAGTCCAGATCCGTCTCATCGCGATCAAAAACTCTCCACACGCTCATCTTGCCTTCTCTTGCACAACAAGCTCACCGTAGAGCAGATGCCTTGCGCGCAGTGAGCCTGATCTACCTTGAACACACCACAACTGCGTCACATCTAGGGACTGTAGACACGACGATGATGGTCTGGACCTTTAGATGCGCCTTCCAACGATATGCAGCCTGTAGTGTGCAATCTGGTAGCAGCATAATAGCTGTCTCTCATATCCTGAGTATATCCAGAGCCTCAATCGACGTCATTTCGAGTTCGTCGCACGGAAATCTAGACTTTCAGAATAACGGTTGTGCTGCTAAGCCCTGTCGCTGATCGTGGTGGTGATGAACGGGTGCGCAGCAGCTGAATGGCGTGCAGCCACACAGCCCCTGCGCAGCATCGCGAACAATCGTCATATGTGAAGCCGACAAGCGAACTCACTTCCTATGACGATGTGTGCGAGTGCGAGAAGCTGGAGTTTACTGAAGGCCAGAGGGTCTAGACTTTGGTGTCGTGGGGGTCACTTGGAGAAGACGGTAAAGGGGTGCAGGAGAAATGGAGCGTATGGGAAGTGGGCCGGTGATGATGTCAGGGCACGTGCTCGACAGGTACACAGGTTAGGCAAACCCTCGCTCTTTTCACAACATCATGGCGACGTTCAAGCACTGCACCACTGCAATGCATGTATCATTGCGTCCACACCATTTTTCATACTTTCTATAGCTGCCTCTCAGAAAAAATTCCTGCATCACTTCCTTCCAGTCACCTTGCCACGAATCTCATATTTTCCTTCTTTCCTCATATTGGAGCCCTTGCCAAGTTCAAGGAACGATGACATTAGGTAGACCCTGCTATATAGCCCAGTGCTGCTAACATCTCTGGCTCATCCTTTAGCTGATCAAGTGTCGTCGCGAGGCACTTCTCGACTGCAGGGATTATATCGCCAGCAATATAAGGCGCTGGTGTATCCCTCTTGGTTTCCATTATTGCTACGTCAGTGAACCTCGCAATGCCGAATCTTGTGGTCAGATCAACGCGCGATGCCTGCCATCCTCGAAGTGTGGCCAGAAGCCTAGAGTCAGGGTAACAACACAAGTTCCAGGCAGCTGACAGAAGGTTCTGCTTGAATAGCAGCTGAACTTCGCGCAGTTTCGGAAAGCCAACTTCATTGAGTATCAGCCTGTCGAGCCATCGCACATCGGGAGAGACCGTTCCAAAG